GCTGTGCCATGTGCTCTGGGGTCACCCTGCTTGAGCAGGGAGGTGGGACCAGATGACCCACTGTGGTCCCTTCCAACCTGACACGTTCTGTGATTCCCTGAAATGCTCCTGAGATGTTTGCAAGGGGGTAAGTGTAGAGCACGTAACATCTGGTGCTCTGTAAGCACATCAGGCTGATGTGGCTTATCCTGGAAACCAGATTAATGCAATAAACAGGACAATGCTGAGGCAGAAATGAGGAGCAGCTGCCCAAAGTGAGGCTGCATGGAATAAACTGTTATGAGAAGGATTTAAGAGACAGCAGTTGAAACTAGGAAAGGTCTCTGAGGTGTCTTGCTCCTGGCAGTGTGCAGGAAGAGGAGAAACAGAGGATATTGTATTAGCACGACACGCCTGCTACATGTAAACTGTGATTCAAAAGGATGGTATATTCTGAAAGCAAGTTACTTTGCAGGAAAAAAAATGGTTATTGTGCTTTGTGCTCTTGTATGGCTGGTTTAGAAGAAAGAGTCACTTCAGCAGCTTTTGTACAGTGGTTAAAAAGATGCTAAAATGTGAAGATTAATGTAACAAGACGGATTGTGATTCTAAACAATCAGTGCTGTTAAATGCTCATTTTTAGAGTTGTTTTATGTGTATTTATTTACTGTTTTGAGTGTCTTTTGGCCTCAGTGCTCGGGCAGCCTGCCTGCTTTGTGTACAGACAAGAACACTGGCTGCTGACTTTGGGCTTTCTGCAGCCTTGCAGGAAAGGAGGCTGAAACAGGGTCCCCCTGAAGCAAACACTAACTTGCACTGTGGCTTTTTAAGCTGAGAAATTGTAAATTCCTAATCAATCCAATGAACAAAGACTGTTTTATTACAGCTTGATGCTTTTCTTTTCCTTAGCCTTTTTTGCAAGTAGGGCACCGCTGCCCTCCCAGTGAAGGTAAATAGGAATCTGCCTCGGAAACTTCCACAGCTTCTTGAGCATTGAGTTCTCCCTCTCTGCCCACAGCACTGACTGGGCCCTGCCCCAGCCAAGGCTGTCTGCCCAGACAAACTGGTTTTATCTTTACTGGGATGGATGTTTCATTTCATTGCTGCTCTTTGTCCCTCCTCAGTCCCAGTGTAGTTCGAGAGGAAAGGCAAAAAGGGGTTCGCAGGAATTGCAAGGAGGGAATTGCAAGGACCAGTGGGTTCAGAGGAGTTATTCCTATGGAAAAAGCTCTCCTGACCTCAGGAGTGGTGGTCAGTGACCTGCTGTGTTCAGCTCCTTTGGATCCAACCCTGAGCAGGGGCTTGGCTGCTTCCACTGATCCCAGAGCAGGGCTCAGCCCAAACGGTGACTGTCTCGGACTCACCTGTTTTGCTGGGTAGAGTAAAAGGTTATGTCAGAACACCTGCCTGCCCTCTGGCTTCCTGACATCCCTAGAAAATCCTTTCCCCAGCATACTGCATTTAGCAAAGGAAATTCTTCAGCATTAGTAGCAGAGATACATATTCAGGTAGAATCCCTAGAGATGAGACATTTGCCTTTTTATGATGAACCCTTATTCTCAAGGGGTTAAATCAGTCTGGGCTGACACTTGCAAGATTTTAACACTGATGGGGATTTAAAGTGGCTTAGCAGCTCTGAAATAAAATCCCTCAGTAGTTTCTGATGCTTAAACAGAATTTAAAATATGCATGACTTTCATTTTTTTATGTGGAGGTTGTAACAAGCTTCACCAGTGGTTAAAGTACATACTCAGTACTTTAGTATGTATGTAGAGACTACGCCAAATGGCTTTAGGAGGGTCTTTAGGATCTTTAAAGCACATTAATAAAAAATTATGAGGAAAAATCTGCCTTGTATCTACAAGATCAGTGTGGCTTTGAAGAGCATGACTTGTGCTGTCTCATACAGGGAGGTCGGAAAGCAGGATTTTATTTACCCCTCTTCAGTAGAACATTCCTCTGCCATATCTGAAACTAATGAATGTAAACTCGTGCCTATTTTTTTGTTGATTTCCTAAAGGTGTAAAAATCTGTTCTTGTTTTGCTTCTATCTTTTTTTCTTTGTAGCTAATTTTTTTTTTAATATCTTTAATCTTAGGATGTGGGCATTACAAGTCAAATAAAACTTTCCTTCATTGACTGTGGTTTTTGTTTCTAAATTTCCTAGCAACACGTGCTAGAAACTTAGTCTTTGGTTTCTAACTTAGGTGACAATTGTGGTGACACCTTTGGTGCTAGTGATGGTATAGAACAAGGTTTGCTCTTCCCAGAGTTGAAATTATGAACTTAAAGTGTTTCAATGTAAACTTAAAGGGTTTGTTTGCATGGGGAGTTTTCCATGGGTCTACTGACACATCCATAGACTAAGCAGGCTATAAAATAAAACAGCTCCTGTGCTTTGAGCAGTGGTTGGAAACTATGGGGTTTCATTTTTCAGATTTTTCTGTGGTGGTTTGGCTGTGTTGGGGTGTGGTGTGTGTAGAGTAGCAGGCTGTGATGAACTGATAACAGGAATCCCAGTGAAGAGCAGAACCTCTTAAACATCGTCCCAGGTTCTTGTAGCACTTATCAGCCCCCCAAACTGCATGAGAGAAACCCAGAGCAAAGCCTGTGGGTTGGTATCAGAGGGGCCCATCTGCTGAGCAATGCAAGAAACTCATCTTCTTGCTCTTCTGAGGCAATTACAGTAGATTTAAATACTCTAATTTTCAGACGATACAGAAACCAGAGTGAATCAGATAGGCTGTTTCTTCCACAGTGATTAAAATTTCATCCCTGTGCTTAAAAAGAAAAAAAACCCCTGAGCCTCTGTTGGCATTAATGCAAGCCTGTCATGAACTCTGATGTATGCAAATAAAATGTTCACGGAGTAGGAAAATTTTTGTCTCGCGCCACACCCTGATCATTAGTTGAAAGAGTTAAAAGGAGTTTATCTCAGTTTCCATGGAGTCAGACTCCACACTCATTACAGCTCAGGAGCAGCTCTGTGCTTTCTTATGCTGAGGAGCAGAGCAAAGGCTGCTCCTGTGTATTGACACTTTTTTCTCCTGTTCAGGAAGGAGTGGGTGAATACGGCAATGAAGCCCACAATTTTCAGTACTTGTCATGGTACATAGATCAAATGTAATCCACTCTGCCAGCATAACTCTACATTCAATAGCTTGGAAAGGAGGAGATTTATTTAACCTGAATAATGAAAGCAGTAAATCACTCATGCTCCCTCATAGCAGTCTTCTGTGATGAACTGAGCTCCTGCAGTAAATATTTGCTCTTTCTTTCCAAATAATAAGACTTTAATGCTGTTTTTTCTTCTTGCAATGCCAAGGAGAGTGTCAGCTTGAAGAGCCTGTTGAGTTTAATGGGATACAATCATAATTGAAGCAGGTATATTATAACTGCAGGAAAAGGAGATTTCTCTGTGTTCTGAAATCTTACTTTAAGGCATAGAAATCATGGTCCATGTGCTTTCCTGACACAAATTAAAGGCATGACCCTCTGCCTGTGTTTATCACTTCTTGCATATTTATTTTTCTGTAAGTTTTATTTTTTAAAATTGAATTAACTTTGGTGGTTTGGTCTGAAGGTGGATTTGCCTTCTGAAAGCTTTTCTGTGCAATGCTGCTCTTGTACCTCACTTTTGCAGTGCAGCACTGTCTGTGTCCTGCTTTTCCTCAGGCTCCCCAGGTAAGTTTTACCTCTGGGGTCACATATGGGAATATCCCTTTGGCTTGGTCTTCAAAGCAGGTGATTTCAGTAGTTAAAGGTATTTGGGGACCAAAAAAAGGTGTCACCTGGACCATGTGTTGCCTGGCCTTTGCAGAACCTTTAAGGGATGTACCTGATTTTCTTCCAGGGTTTAGATAGTAGGAAGAAATTGTTCCCTGTGAGGGTGGTGAGAACCTGGCACAGGTTGCCCAGAGAAGCTGTGGCTGCCCCATCCCTGGAAGTGTCCAAGGCCAGGTTGGATGGGGCTTGGAGCAACCTGGGCTAGTGGAAGGTGTCCCTGCCATGGCAGGGGGTGAATTAGAGGAGCTTTGAGGTCCCTTCCAACCCAAACCCTTCTGTGATTCGATGACTTTATTCTAGGCTTTTATTTTCACGTGTGCATATTCACAGGGGAGGTGCTCGTTCTTTACAGAGCTGGATGTGGTTATAAAAAGCCATCTTCTTCTTAGTGTTATTTAAAAAAACCTCAAATAAATATGTATTTTCAATGGAGCTTGGACCTTATCAGTGAATCACTCCTGTGTGGTGCAAGTAAAAATGTGCTTGGGGTAGCACAGTGATGCTGCAAGGTGGAGGTGAATGTAGTAATACCCTTTTAAAATGAACGATTCTAATTTAAAAAACACGTATTTTTTAATGTGTTTTTTGTTGTTTTGTTGCAGCGACTGAGGGGGCTGCAGGAGCAGTGTGAGGGGAGCCCGGCCCAGACATGTCTCCCTCAGGGGTGTGAGGAGAGCCCAGAGCAGGACCCGCCGGGGGTGTGAGGAGATGCCTGGCTTTTCCCACTGGGGATGTGAGAGGTGTGAGGGGAGCCCTGGCTGTCCCCGCCTGGGTGTGAGTGGACCCGGGGCTGTTCCCACCGGGGTGTGAGGGCTGTGAGGGGAGCCCTGGCTGTCCCCGCCGGGGCTGTGAGGGGAGCCCAGCCCGGCCATTTTCCCGCCGAGCCCCCGCCTCAGCGCCCCGCGCCCGCCGCGCCAGCGCCGCCGCTGATTGGCTGAGAGCAGCCGCCAGTGCGAGTCGCTGATTGGCTAATCCGCACCGCCCCTCCGGCCAATGACGACGCGCTCTGCCGCCCGCCTTTCTTCCGACTGGCTGCGCCCCTCCCTGTGCCCGCCCCCTGCTGGGCAGCGGTGCCGACAACCGATTGGCTGCAGCGCTGCCCGGGCCGGGTGTTTAATTGGGCGGTGCTGGGCTGGCCGGCGCCTCACCTGCCGCGCGCCGCCATTGGCCCGCCGCTCCCCGCGCCCCCGCCCATTGGCCGCACCGCCCCTTAAGCGCGCCCCGATTGGCCGCGGCGGCCCGGCCCGGTATCCGGGTAAGATGGCCGCAGTCGGCGAGTGCTCGCTGCCCGCGCCGTGGCGGCCGGTCTCCCTCACTCACGTCGAGTACCCTGCAGGTAACGCTCCGTTTCGCCCCCGCCGGGCCCCCGCGCCGCCCCGTCGGCCCGCGGCGGGGCCCCTCCCGCCGCCCCGCGGCGCTGCCGAGGGCCGGGCTCGCGGCTGCCAAATAGTGAGCCATTGAGCCGCGGCGCTGGGGCGGCGGGTTGCGCGTGCGCGCTGGGGGGCGGCGGGGCGCGCTGCCAGATTGTGAGCCTCGGCGGGAGCGCCGCTGCGCATGCGCGGTGGGGGGCGCCGGGATGGGGGGCTGCGAGGGGGGGGCCCGGGGAAGGGCCCGGGGAAGGGGCGGCTCCGTCCCGGCCCTCCAGTGCCGCCCTCCCGGCTCCACACCGCCTCCTGGCCCCCCCTGCAGCCCCCTGGCCATGTGTGGTAGCCCCCGGCCTCGAGGCGAGGGTCCCACCCATGTTGTGCCGCTCCCCTCAGCAGCGCGGTGGGGTCGGTGTCACCTCCCTGCCTCCCGTGTTGGGGGTCTGGCGTGCTGTGACACAGGGACAGCGGGCTCTGGGGAGCCTCGTGGCACCCCAGGGAGCGGGGCCATGGCAGGGTGGTCTCTGTCCCCGGGGTGGGTTCGGCTGCCAGTGGGTCTGGGGGCTGTGAGAGGAGTGGGGGTGGCAGGGTGTCACTGTCCCCAATGTGGGCTTGGCTGCCAGGTGGGTCTGGTGGCAGCGCTGGGAGTGGGGCAGCGACAGGGTGGTCCCTGCCCTGAGGTGGGCTCCGATGCCAGGTGGGTTTGGTGGCAGTGCTGGGGCCAGGGCAGTGGCACCGTGGCCGTGTCCCTGAGATGGGTTTGATGGCTTTTCTGGGAGCACTTGAGTCAGGGAGCGCTGAGGGAAATGCCTGGAGGACTCCAGGCACAGGGTGTCCTGTGGCTCAGCTTGTGGCAAGGTGGGTTTGGGGCCAGGTGGGTGCTTGAATACAGGATGGGCTGTTCCAGCTGGGACAGGTGTGATCCATAAAGGTCCTGTGCCCCTGGATCCCTGTGGTGCTGCACACCAGAGCAGCCTGGCCCGGGTTGTGGTGGGATGAATCCCTGATTTGTCACTGTGCAAGAGGAACCAGTCTGTGTTCAGAGAGCAGCAGCATAAGTGGTGTCTCATCAGTAACTGTGGTCCTTTGGAGCTCCCCTTCAGGTGCTTTGTGCTCTGCTGGTTTTAAATGCTTGTAGATAATAAAAAAATGAAGTGTCAGAGTGTTAGTATTGAACATGTGCTCAAAATCCCACTTTGGTGTTAACACTATTTCATTATTTCCAGCTCTCCCAGTGAGTCCCCCCTAACTTGCATTGTGCTGCTGTATGTCCTGTTTCAAAGGCTGAATTTTAGTTCCTGATGAAAGCTCCTCTCAGTAGTGCAATTCCTAAAGCTTCTACAGTGCTTAGGGATCTTCTGGATTGAAAGTGCCCATTTAGCCAGGAGACTTGAAATGTGACAACAACTGAAAAGATCTGGCACTGGAGATGCATTATTTCTTGGCCCTCCCTCTCATGGCTGTTTTGTGGTTTTATGAGGTACTTTATGTGAAGTACTGGCATTTCCTTTTCTGGCTTGTATTTTCTTTCACCCTGTACACACTTCTGCCATCCCCCTTCTCAAATATGTTAATTTTACAGTTTGAGGGAGATGGGGAATAATCTTCCCAGTAGGACTGATATATTCACCTCTGTATCTCATCTCCTTATCTGAACCTAGCAGAATACACAGAGCACATTCTGTGCTCCATTTGTTGGATTGGTTTGGGAAATGAAGGTGGTGGAAGTTGTTGCACAAGGGTTATCTGTCAGATCTTGAGCAATGTGACATAACTCGATTATTTTCTCTCTGCATTGAGAGTGTCTTACACTGGGAAAGGGAGGAGATGATTGTGGGTGGGGGTAAATCAGCACTGAGATGAGGGTTATGTGTGGATGAGGATGGACACTGTGGCAGGGCTGGACAACCCTTTCTATGGAGAAATTTTTCCTGCTATCCAACCTGAACCTCTCCTGGCCCAACTTGAGGCTGTTTCCTCTCATCCTGTCCCTTGTTCCTGAGAGCACAACCTGACCCCCACCTGGCTCTGCCTTCCCTTCAGGGAGTTACAGAGAGTGAGAAGGTCCCCCCTGAGCCTCCTTTTCTTCAGGCTGAGCCCCCCCAGCTCCCTCAGCTGCTCCTGGTGCTCCAGACCCTTCCCCAGCTCCATCCCTTCTCTGGACATGCTCCAACCCCTCAGTGTCTTGTTGTGAGGGCCCAAAACTGACCCTAAGATTGGAGGTGGTGCCTCACCAGTGCTCAGCACAGGGGGATGGTCACTGCCCTGATTCTGTGCCCACACCATTACTGGTACAACCCAGGTGCCATTGGCCTTGCCCACCTGGGCATAGATGGGCTTATGTTCAGCTGCTGTCAAACAGCACCCCCAGGTCCTTTTCCAGCTTTCCAGCCACTGTTCCCCCAAAATGGGGTATTCCATGGGGTTCTTGTGATCCAGGTGCAGGACCCAGCACTTGGCCTTGTTAAGCCTCATACAGTTGGTCTCACCCCTGGATCCAGCCTGTCCAGATCCCTCTGCAGAGCCTTCTTGCCCTCCAGCAGATCAAAATTCCTGCCCAACTTGATGTCATCTGTGAACTGCCTGAGAGTGCTCTCCATCCCCTCATCCAGATCATTAATAAAGATATTAAACAGAACCTGCCCCAATACTGAGCCCTGGGGAACACCCCTGGTTTTAGAGGTGTTGCTGGATTTATCTCCATTCCCCACCACTCGGGGCCCAGCCATCAGCCAGTTTTTTACCCACTGAACACTGCACCACCCAAGCCATGGATGTTCTGCAGGAGAATGCTGTGGGAAATGGCTTCAAAGGCTTTACTGAAGTCTGGGTAGACTACATTGTGGTCTGAAAAAATGACTTGCAGTAAGGTGGTAGGTCTGATGCTTTTACCTGGATTTGGGGAAAGTGCTCTAACTTTATTTAGAAAGCTGTTTACGTTCTGCCTGTGTACAGCTTAAGTCCAGGTCCATAAAGCTTCTAGATAATGTATATTTATAAAATAATGATGTTGGCAGCGTGCTCAGCACTGTGGAGTTAATGTGGCCTCGTGCTGCTGAGAGGGTCAGAACGAGAAATAGATCCTGCTTTTACCAACATAAATTATTAAGCTGTCTTGGCATGTCATGCACTGCTGTGTGGCAAAAAGCTTTGGCTCTTGGCTGATCCTGAGGCTGCTGAGCCTCTGTGGCAACCAGCTCTTAAAATCTCAGGTCTTTAAAGACTTCCAGCACAGAACTGCTGCCACCCTGGCTTTCATCTGCCACGAGTGACAGTCCCGCTCGCTGTGAGCAGGTAAAAAGCTGTCACTGCTGATTTGTGCCTGCCACACAAAGCCTGGTTTTGGGCTGCTTCTTGTAAATGTGAAGGGGAGAGGTGTCTCCAGAAGGGTGCTGATCCTCCCTGTCCTGATCTAGTGTTTCCTTATCAATAGTGATACACCAAACCCATCCTTACTGCTTGTGTGGCTGCACAGCTCTCCAGGGCTTTCTGTGATGTCCACTTTGAGCAAAATAAATGAGAAACAACAGATGATTGTGGTAATCAACTGCACACTGGTTTGAGGAATGGGATCTTGGAGAGCTGAAATACTGCCCTTAGGGAATGTCAGGATCAAACACAGGGAGAAGAAACCAGCCATGGCAGTGCTGCTTGAGTGTGCTAAAGCATGCTGCTGCAGAGGACAGCCTGGAAAAATGTCAGCCTGGTGCTGCTTTCAGAATTTTTTGATCCTGAAGCTTTTCTTATCAACAGTTGTACTTTGGTGAGACCAAGGGATGATCTGGCAGTGCTGGGTTGCTGGCAGGTAGGCAGGAACAATCCTTCTTCTGTATGTCCTTCCAGTAATGAGCTGGTGATTGCATCAGAACTGTTAAATCCTTTGATGGATGTATAAAAGCTGTATGTCTAATTGCTCTTTGAATCCATTTCCGCTTTGGATCTCACAGTATCTTTGGCACTGAGCTTTGCAGCTTAATGTGGTTGTTGTTTCTTTTCTAAGTCCACTTCTCAGTAATTCCATCAAACGCTCTCCTTCTCATGTGCAGTGAGAGGTAACAATTGTTTGCTGTCCATTTCTCCATATAATTCATGACTTTATGGAACTGTTACATTCTCTGCTTTCCTTTTCAAGCTGAAAATCTGAGTTATTTGATGTTTTCTGAATGGCTGCTGTCACATACTTATCTTTGTCCTCTTTCAATTTGCCTTCCCTGTGTGTGCTCTCCCTTTTTAGCTGTGACACCAGAATTGCATAATAAATTTTTGTAGTGCTGCAACAGTAACTTCTGTTGTGCTCTTAAAAATGTCCTTCTTGCCTTTTTCACTGCTGCAGAGCACTGGATGCTACTCTGAAGGTATTGGCTCACACTGAGTCTGAGGGATTTTGTTTGATAACAACTGAACTAAATCCTGTCATGTCATGTGTATAATTAGGGTTGTTTTTTCCCGTATTCATTGCTTTGCATGGGATGACTTTGTGCTGCAGGCTTAAAACTCATCTTCAGGAACTTCCTGTCTGTAGGGTGAGTTTCACTGGAGAAACATTGAGTTCCTGGTTTGTTTGGGTTTTTTAATTACTATTTGGAGAAAAGAAAAAAACTTCCTCTCTTCAGTGCAGCTGGGATTCTTAAAGCTCTGGGACTTTCTGGACCTCCTCTTCTCACACTGGACAAATTCTTTAAGGAGACAAACCTGATCAGACCTTTTATCTGCAGAATGACAGGGAATCTTCCCGTTTTCCCAGTTGCCCAGGTTATTTCCTACAGCCAGGCAGAGCTGGAGGGGCTGGTGTGCAGAATTACCCCAAGGGTGAAGAGGTGCATCAGAGCAAAGGTGCTGGGGCTGTGTGGGTGCTTTGGCTCAGCAGTTTGTGTTGCTGTTCAGCGTCAGCACGTGCTGTTCCTATAGGAATGTTTGTTCTGATAACCCTCCTGTGATTCTGTGCAGGGTGGGAGCTCACAAGTCAGGGCTCATTCCATAGCTGAGCAGTATCTCTTGGAAGAAGCAGATCCCACTCTTGTTTGGCTGCTTTAATGCAGAGGTTTATGTTTAATCTCCCTGCAGAAGTTGTGTCTGATTCCTGCCTTTATGCCATAATTTGAAGCCTCCTGAAGATATTTCCGCTGTCCCACACGTGCAAGCTGAGGAAATGGCTCTCTTAGAGCATGAATATTTAGTGATATAAATGCCCATGACACACGTACACCGCGTGTTGTCTGTGCAACTTGCACACATGCACTTGGCCAAGAACACACGACCAGCAGCAGGGCCACAAATAGACGCTTCAATAGGAAGTGGTGGTGGCAAAGCTCAATCTTGTGGTAGGATGTGGTTTGGGGGCTGTTGATTCACATTTTTACATCCTATACAGGTTGGGCTGATGTGGTGGAGCTCGGATATTTCCACCGAAAGAATGCTGGGTAAAATGTTGAATTGGAGCAGAAGTAGATGCTGAATGAAGGCTGAAAAAATAGCCTTGTGTGTCTGAGCTATGTATAGTGCTGCACGTATTTATCTCTTGGCCGCCCAAAAATGAGCTATTGCCTCCTGTATTTTTGCTTTTGGAGCTCCCGAGGATGTCCAGGGAAGGCTGGACTTTAAAAAAAGCAGAATTTAAAACTAAACAAACCTCAAGGTATACATTAAATAGATTCTCCTTTTGCATTTTTGCAGAGGTTTTGTCTCTGTTCTTACCGGTTGGAGGAATTGCTTTAAAATTCCCAAGCTTAGTAAAATAAAGGAAAATTAATCTTTATAAAAAAAAGAGGGGGGGAGTGCTGCTTGCTAGATCTTACTGGACTTCAAACCGTGGCTCTCCTGCACGTCTCCTTTCCCTGGGAATAAGTCTGGGAGCGCACTGGAGCGTGAGAGGAGATGGGAGTGACATCAGTAATCAGGCTGGGAGGCCCCCGGAGCTCTGTGCGGTGATCAGCGCTGGCCTTTCTCTCAGAGCTCACTCTGCCTCCTTCACTGGGGATTTCCACTCATTTCGGAGCTGGTTTAGTTAATGCAGCTCTGCCTGGAGCTGCTGATCCAGCGAGGCATTTGTGGGCTGCTGGTGTAGCTCCTTCAGATAGTGCTCAGCTATTTATCTGCCTCCTCCCCTAGAAAAAGTGGCTTCAGGATGTGCCTGTTTAATTGCTGTTAGCTACAGTAATATGAAGTATGATTAATGCTATCTGTTCCGCTCTAAATGGACACCTGAAATGTTTGAGGAGCTTTTGTGTTAAGATTGATAAAGGACTTGGTGCTTGCAGGCAACATCTGGGAGTGATGGTTTCTGGTTCTGCACTCTGGGACTTTCTGGATCTCCTCTCACACTGGACAAATTTAAGGAGAGAAACCTGGCCAGACCTTTTCTCTGCAGAATGACAGGAAATCTTCCCGTTTTCCCAGTTGTCCAGGGTGTTTCCAGGCAGAGTTGGAGAGGCAGGTGTTCAGAATCAATGGGAGTTGTGCAGTCTGGGTGGTTTGATTTATTGGGAATGTTATCATGTGACATAACAGAGGATCATGAATTTGGTACTGCTGGTCCTATTTAAATTAAAAGACTACTTGCTTAAGTATTCCTCCACCATCTGCACAAAAAATAGAATCCCCCAAGAAGATAAATAATTTAACTTGGTTTCTACTTGACAAAATTACAGCTTCTAGTCTGGAAGTGCTGAGTTTTTATGTACTGTGGGTTAACAGAGTGAATGATCTGAAATGTGGTGATTCCTTGATGATGAGCTCTCTTCAGTTGGTAATGCTGAAAGTGAGACTATTGGAAAGTATTCCTAAGGCTTCTGGGGTAGTTTGATTGTCTGGTGCTTTGTCTCATGAATTCCTTGAAGAAGGGATTCGTTTTGTTGAGAGTTTCTGATTTATGTAAAACCATAAGGGGCTTGATTTTCAATTGCCAGGTAACTGATCCTGTCGCATCCTCTTTGTGCTGCCACAATCCGTTGCTGTTCTGCTTTGGAAGCATTTGGAACCCACCTGATGTGAGGCAAACCTGCCATATGGTGCAGGAAAAGTTTCAAATTCAGAGTCTTCCGATGCTTCTGAGGTTAAAACCAAAATAGAACCTCACTTCAGTGAAAGCTCAGTGTGCTTGGGTATTTTGTCCTCCAAATCTTCCTAATTTCACTGGTGCAGACTAACACTCCTGCTAGTAATCCTTGCTGATGCTGTTGCTGGTTCCCACATCTAACCTAGAGTCTGGGATTCCAGAGGCTTCCGTGCACTGTACCTGGTGTAGCCACAGCTATGTGGCAATAACATCAGCAGCATGAACTTTGTTGTAGCAGGGCAATAACTTCTTTATCAGTCCCAGCACTGAGAGGCTGAGGTTAAAGTCCTTTCTGCCAAGTGCTGCTTTAAAATGTGGGTGCGTGGGCTGGGGAGACTCAGTATCTTGCAGTGGAATTGATCTAGGAATGAGTCCAATGCTCAGCCTTGCAGAGGCATCCTGTTTCCTTTAGAGAGGAGAGAGGAAGGATAAATTTGTGTGGAGGCTGATCCTTTTGTGTTTAGTGATGGGATGGAGAGGATCTGGTCTCAGAACCAGTACACGAAGTACCCATGTCTTTGGTTGCTCTCTGGGTTCATACAGTGGGTTTGTGGTGACTTCTGTCTTTAAAGATTCTCAGGTAGACAGTTCTCACTCTTCTGATATGAATTGCTGATCTTGGAGCAAAATTATTCTTGTGTTTCCCTGGAATTCGTGCTGCCATCTTCTCTCAAAATGCTTCTGTGTGTGTCCCTTTTCTGGGAAGAGAGGCAAGAGAAGCATGGATCTAAACACACAGCTGCTCTTTACTGTTGCTGCCCGCTTCTGTGTCTGGGATCATTCAGGGTAAAGTTTTTGAGGGATCTTGTGACCTCTTGTGAGGTCTCACTGCTGCTCCCTGATTCTCCCTCGGGGACAACTAGACCATTAGTTATTTGGTTTGGAGGCTCAAAGCCCCTTCTGTGTCATACAAGTGGGCTACTGGTTAAAAAGGCAGAGTCTCCTTTATTTCCCTGTTATCTCCTGCTCTGTTTAGCTATTTATTTCCTCCCCATTTTGCTAATGCTAGTGTTCGTGCAGACACATGGTGAGACAGATTAGGAAGCTGATCCAGCTGAAAATGAACCCATTTTAGTAAGGGAATGGGAAAGGATTTGTTTGGGGAGTGTTTGCTGGTAATTGCTGGCATAGGGAGGCAAAATGAATGACGGGGAGGGAAAGATGCTGCCTCTTTTGCAGCAGCCTGTGCTTATGTTGGATTGAAGTGCCTCTGGGCCCACACCTGTGGTCATTGTTGTAAATTGGGTGGCAGCAAACTCTGCTGAAGGATGCCAGGCTCCTCTCATCCCTGATTTTGAGCCTGCATGTGAGCACTGCTGTCTCCTTGCCTCGGCTCCTCCGGGTCACTCTGCAACCCAGGTTTGCCCCTCTGCTCCCAGTGATCCAGGGCTCCAGCTGGGCCATGCTCTGGTGGCAGGCAAGTTACCTGTGAAGTTCAAACTGATTTGTGTCTCTTGTTTGTTTCCCCAGGTGATTTCTCTGGTCAGCTTTTAGCTTATTTGAGTCTTGGTCCAATATTCATTATTGTTGGCTTTGTAACACTCATCATATTCAAGAGAGAGCTTCACACGGTGAGTCCTCCTCTCCCTTCCCAGCCTCTCCTTATGACTAAAGCCTCTTCCTTTGTCACCTGGTGCTGCTGTGTTCACACTTGTTTTTCTCTCTTTAAAGTGCAAGCCTAGGTAAGGCATCTTCCTGTCACAGAACAGCAGGAGACACTTAGCACCAGTACCAGGTTAAAAGGCTGCTCAGCCTTTGCTGATTTCTCTGTTGCTCTGTGGTGTGTTTTGTACATGATCTGTCCAAAACCATCGAGGGAGATGTCTGAGGAAGTAAAGAATGCTGTTTGCAGAGTGGGAACACTCCCAAGATCCAGTAGGATCATAGCACTTAGTAGGTTCCTGCAAGCTGGGCAGCATATGTGGGAAATGGTGTGTGTAACTCAGGAGGATGTACTTTCTTAGAACTACTGAGATGGAAAAGGGGATACAAAATAAAACCTACAGATTCCCAGGGGAGTGGATCTGTCTTTAAGGGCTGCTTCTCAACTGTAAATTGAATACCAGGGACTGAAGAGGCTTTCTTCTGTCTGAATTCTCGTAACACGTAATGCTTTCTGTCTGCTCTGAAAGGTAGTTGGGAATCAGTGTCATGGATAAACTCTGTATAAACCTCTTGTAACATTTACCCTCAGTAAACAGATAAAATAGGGGCCACTGAAAGGGTTTTGACAGCAGATTTCTAATCCAGGGCCACGGTGTCATGGGAACCAGTGGCTTGAGGGACCTGGGAATGGGCCTTCTGACTAGGAAAGGCAGCTGTTAAGTTTTGGCAACCCAAAAGTCTCTTGTTGACCCAAAAGAGAGAATGAGCTGGAGTAACTCTTGAACAGATTTATGGGTTTATACAGGGACTTGTTAGGTGTTGGTAAGGAGACAACTGCGGAGGTTGATTCCCGGTTCTTCGTGTGGGAAGTCACCATTGAGCTGGAGAGAGACACTGCCTGACCCGGGGCTCAGGATATGGAGTGAAAAATTCCTTTGTCATCTGGAATGGGACCGAGTGTTAAGGAGGCAGAGTGTCATCACCAGCTGGGAATCTGATCACAGCAGCAGGACTAATTTAGGGAAGGTGTATGGGCTGTGGAATTAAAGAGTAAAAATAAATGCTACCAGCCTGGCTTAGCTCAGAATGTGAATCCATTTTGAACTGAAGACAGCAACTTCAAGATGAAAATAGGCATAGAGGGAAAAGACAGAAAGCCTAAAAAGTCACCTTTATTTTAAGCTATTTACCCAAATAACAGTGTCTGCACTCCCCCTGTTGGTCATCCGGAAAAGCCAATCCCCAAAAACCTGCCCTGTTAAAAAATGCCACTTTCTACACTTGCTGGTGGAAATGTCCTGGCAGAAGTGCTGTACAGTGTCATTTGTGTCTCATTCTGTGTCATCTGCTGAAAAGCTGCATATACACAAAGTTTTGCCAAATACACAAAGTGAGCTGAAAAATAAGTGCTTTCCTTCCTCACATAGTGAATTTGGAAGCTGTTTTAACTCTAGTAGTCAAAAAAGAAAATTAGAAACATAATGTTTGGGGTTTTGTCAACAGAGAGAGCCTGGTAAGTGGAAGGGTCTTTTAGAGGGGGTGACAGAGCTGTCTTGCCTTCACAGATCTCTTTCTTGGGAGGGCTGGTGTTCAACGAGGGAGTGAACTGGTTAATAAAAAATGTAATCCGGGAGCCTCGGCCGTGTGAAGGTAGGGACTGGACCGTGGGTGTCGTGGTGTCAGTGGAGTTCTGAGTGGAATGCTGACTGTGAGGGGTTGGAGGGTATTTTCCCCTTTGCCTCATGTTGGTTTTGGATGTAAGAAGGCTGGTAGAGCCATCTGAGCAGGGATGTGTCCTGTGAACTGTGTGCACATATTCCAGCAGAGTGTTCTGGCTTCGCATCTGGAGTGTTCCAGCTGCTGGGTACAGAGTAGACCTTGACCATACTCTTTCTTCTTCTCTTCCCAGAAGCCCATTCAACAGTGACCACAAAATATGGGATGCCGTCCAGCCACTCCCAATTCATGTGGTTTTTCTCTGTCTATTCCTTTCTGTTCCTTTATTTAAGGTAAAAATTCCAAGTCAGGTTTTGGCTGTTAATATGTTGAAACACCTGAAATATGTGTCCCCCTTGCCGGGTGCCACTTGAGTGGGATAAAGGAATTAAATCTGAGGCCCTGCACAATTTACTGTGGCCTGGGTGGATGGAGCATGTCTGTCTCCGTCTGAATGTAGGGCTGGAGTTACCAAGGCTGAAAACTGGAGGGTGTGGGTGGGCCTCCTTTTACCTGTTGGGGTACAGGTCTCCCAGTTTTCTTTTTCTAAGCTGTGATGATCCCCCAGTGTGAGGGAAGAGGGGGAGAATAGGGAGGAGGAAAGAAGAGCTGCTTTCTCATGTGTCTACTCAGTTTCTCAGTGGGGTTGTCTGCAATCTTTTAGGTAATATCTGTTGCCCACTTGCATGACCTTTTAGTTCACCTCCCTTTTGAAGGACTGGGTTTACATGCTGTGCTGTGCTTTCCTGAGGTTCCTGCTGGGGCATGGCTCTGCCTTGTGGCTCCACGTGTGGAGGAAGACAAAACTCACAGTCCCTCCTGGCTCTGTGGGTGATGGAGGGACTCTGATGTCTTGGCTCCCTGTTGCATATGCTCAGCATGTGCCTCTCACACCAGTTGCAGTAACTGTGAGCATTCTGCCTTCCATCACAGCAGTCCCTGTTGACAGCTGGAGAGGCACACGAGTGGCTCTCTGGCTGCTCTGTAACTGCTGCCATGGGACAGGTTGCTGCTGGGATGGGGTCGAGCTGCCCATGGCCCCACTGGAGTAGGGCTTTCCTAGGGTTCCCGAGGGAGTGAGGACAGAGGTAAGGCCTGCTCAGCTCCCTGCCCTGTGCTAATGGCTCTCCATCTCTTTCAGAATGCACCAAACAAACAATGCGAGGTTTCTGGATTTACTATGGCGACATGTGCTGTCCATCTGCCTCGTCACAGTGGCTTTGCTAGTCTCATATAGTAGGTATGGAGCAACTGTTTGTCTTATGCTCTCATACAGTCCCGTGGCTTGTCACAGCCCTGTCATTCCTTATCCTGCTTTTCCGACCTGATTCTCGACTGCGCTGTACAAGTCGGAGCTTTATGGAAGTCGCTTTTTTGCCACGAGACCCTTCCAATAAGCAAAGGTGCTGCATGTGTGGTGCTTCACAGAAGCATTTATAAACCCCCAAATCAGCTGAGCTTGTACCAATTCCCTATGGGCTCCATTCCTATGCTCCAGCCTCACTGCCTCACCCTCTTTCCAGCACTAATCGTGGAATCATTGCCCCATGCCTTGGCACAGCAGCCTCTGCAGCACATGGATTGCTACAGTTGATCAATCTGATTGTTTTGCTTGAGCATTAGTTAATCAAAACATTTATAGCTGTTTGACTTGCAAGATTTGTATTAAGATGAATAAAGAAAACAAAACTTTGATCATGTTTTTTTTCCCCCTTTAGTGGATTTAAAAAAACAATTATATGCACACACCACAAATACCAAGTGAGCTCCAGGGACTGGAAAACAGACAAATTCAAGCTAGAAATAGGGCCATGTCTTTCACAGGAAAGTAATTACCTGTTGACACAGTTGACTGTACACTACAGCTGATTCCTTATTACTGATTATTTTAAATTCATAACAGGTATGTAGTCTAATTTTAAAAAAAAAATCGGAGGAAATCAAGTGGCCTGTGCTAGGCAGAGGGTCAGATAAGATGATCATAATGGCTTTATGATATATGGGTGAAAAGAATTTTGAATGTAGCTTGTGCACACGGATAGCAGGCAAACAGTGCAGCTTTCCGGATGGCTGCAGTCCCAGAGCTGTGCAGCCTTCGTGCCTGTTACGTTGGAGAGCACCAAAATCACAGCAGAAATGCTGTCCATGTTCTTAAAAGCCTTCAAGCCCCAGTTTTGGTGGCTTGGAGGGGACTTACCTTGTTACTGGCTTTGGAAGTCTCCTGGGGAGGAACCAACAGTAACAGTTCCTCACCTGATCAGGATAGATGAAGAAGAATGTGGAGTGTTATTGAGTTAAGCTCAAAGTAGATGTGCTCTAAGCTGAAACTGCTGTAGCAGGGAAGAGTTTTTCCCAGTTTTTTTCCCCCAGTATTTTTGCCAGCTTTTTTTGAAAAAAGATACCCACTTTTAACATCTGCAGGATAATTCACTCACAGCATCTGTGAGTCCAGTGGAACCTCAGCTCTCGAGCCTTGCCTCCTTTTGTTTTAAAGCCTGTCTGGTGACTCTTCTCTTCCACTGCAGGGTTTATTTGCTTTACCACACCTGGAGCCAAGTCCTATATGGAGGTGTGGCAGGAAGCATTATGGCCATAGCCTGGTTTGCCTTCACACAAGAGATCCTAACTCCTCTCTTCCCGAGGATAGCTGCGTGGTAAGGCTCTTTATTCTGTGCGGGCTTGTTACAGATGTTAGAAATGAGAATTCCTGGGCTCTGTCCCAGTTTTGCATACTGACTGTTGTGTAACCTACTTGTTCCTCCATGTTTTCTTGTGCATGCTTATACAAAGGATCATATGTCCTCGATTTAAGGGTGGGGAAGAGAGGGAATTTAATCAACTCCTATGTTTGTAAAGCCCTGCTAAAGCTGAGAGGTGTGGCAGAGTGCTGGAGGAGCTTTGCAAGCAGAACAGACCTTTCTTAATGAATGTCTAATGACCTAGTAAAATTGCAAAGCCATTTACATGTGATATAGTCTGGAAATATTGTATAAGGAAAGAAAAGAGCTTTTGATTAAATGTAATGAAGAATCTTTTTCCCAGCCTGAAGTGATAGGATAGTACTGTTAATTCTGGAGCATATTTTGTGCCTTTTTCTTTTTGTTTTGGTTGTTTTTTTGTTAAATCAAAATCATGGTGGAGAAAGTCTAATTATTTCCCCCTTTCCCCCACTTTGTCTGTTTTCAGGCCAATTTCAGAGTTCTTTTTAATCCGAGACACCAGCCTCATTCCCAACATCCTGTGGTTTGAGTACACAGTCACGAGAGCAGAAGCAAGGTGAGTTTTGTTGGGGGATGGAGGAGCTGTTGCTGGTTTGACTCGTTAGATGCAGTTATTAATTAATTTTCTGATATGTAGCCACTGCCGTGGGTAGAATAGCACAGAGTAAAGAAAAATACCAAGTTGTGGGTTAACAGCTGCATCTGAGAGGTGAATCTAGGGAGTGTGGGACTTAAGAATGTTTCATATAAGCATTATTTCAGCTCTCTGGTGTTTGCAGGCAGTTGTTTATAATGCTGTGTACACTGGAGATGGGGTGGATGTTTAGGACTGGGAAGGACTGATCTCCCTGTAGGGTATGTCGGGCACAGCTTTAGTTTTGTGTGGAGCCCAGCAGGGCCTTCCTTTAATCCTCCTGTGTTTTCCCGCTGGTTTGGTTGGTTTTATCCCCAGTAGGGGTGGTGTCCCCTGTCTCACCTGTTCCCCCGTGTTGTCGTTGCAGGAACAGACAGCGCAAGCTGGGAACGAAGCTCCAGTGACGCGGGAACGCGGGACCAGAGTTTTAACGGAGACAGACAAGAGCAGAGACCTGGGAGCAGCAAAGGAGCCTTTAAACAGACGGACCAAAGGAACAGGCAGGGACCATACCCAAAAACCTGAAAGCCTTTGCTCTGCTTTAGCAGCTAAGCTGGATTGCTCCCTGATGCATGTGGGACCGTGCAGGAGTAGAAGCTCATTTCCAACACAGATGCACATTGCCGGTCGAATGTACCATCCTGTCTACGTCAGGGGAGGGGGGAGGAAATGCCTGGTGTCGTGTTCGGGGGAGGGAAAACCAAAAATGAATCCTTTCTGTGACTTTTTTTTTTTTTTTCAGCATGAAATATACACACTATTTATTTATTTTTTTAAACGGAACTATTGTTTTTGGGGCGGGTGAGGCGTTGATTGTGTGTTCTGGTTTTTTTGCCTTTTTTTTTTTTTGTTCGGGTTTTTTCATTTTTGGAAGAAGATGACAAAACTAATCTCAAGTGGATCATGTTTAAGTAGGGCTTTTAACTCTTACAAACTTCTTAGGAGGGAGGGGAACTAGGATGGGGTGACCTAGATGGAAGGGAGAGGAAGACTTTCCTTTCTGCAACCAGTTTGGGAGATCAAAATCAATTCCAACTGCACTTTGTACAGACAGACAGACAGACTATAAAGATCTGATTTTTAACACTAGTGACAGTTCTGCAGGGAAGCCTGCACGGATACCAATTAAGGGGAGTGTGTGTGTAAAACAAAGGAAAAACACAAATATACTGACTCTTATTTTTTTTTCCACTGCTGCTCCTGTTGTGTAATTAGCAAGAGTGTCCTTCTCAGAATCTCTTCTAGGTGGCAAGATTATCGTACATATCTCACATTTATTCCATCTCTTCCTTTATACTTTTATTACCTCAGGGTTGCTGTGATCTGTACAGCTTTTGTTGTACTGAGAGTGCTGAGGGCACTGGGAAGCCCATTGGTTACAAGCAGTGCTGTGCTCCAGCAAGAGTCAGCCCAAAGCCTTACAAAATTCAGTTGCTGGTCTCTGTCTTAAGCACTGGATTTTTAATTTTTTTTCTGTTACAGTTTAAGGGAGGGATTTTTAGGAACGAACACAGTGACAACCATAAATGAACAAGGCAAATGACTAATAACTAGCTCAGCTGCTCTCTGAACTATTCCTTGAAGAGTCCTGTTAGAATCCAGCCGTGAACTCCAAGTAGGGAACTTGTAACTGGCAGGAGCCTCTGCTAGGACCTCAGTAGCTTGATAGGTGGGGGCTCTGCAGTTGTAGCCTTGAATGCTGAACTCCTGCAAGCAAGTTTTGCTTTCCATCCTTCTTCCATTCCGGTTCTCCGTCTGGCCAATGGGCTCTCTGGATGCTGTGTCTCTGTGGGAGTGTGCCTGCCATCTCTGTGTGCTGGTGATGCCTCCCACCTCTGTGACCCATGAGTTCACCTGGCAAGGGCTAAACTCCAAGTGCTTCAGGGCTGTGCATGGACACTTTCTGTATTTCTAGTATATGATGCAGCAGTTCAAGTGTAACTACAGAGAAGTATTTATTCAAAGCACAATTGACTTGAACTTTCACAGATAAAAGGACAGCTTCTGAACTGGCTCAAAGGTCATCGGTGTGCCTTCGATGCAGTCATGTGAGCAGAGGTAAAATGACTGTCACATCTCGGTCTTGCTGCCTGTTTTACTATTTCCACTTTAATCAGACTCCTGCATTATAAAGCTGCTTGAAGTGAGATGTTTTTTTCTGTTCATCTTGCTTATTTATTTTTTTTTTAAGTTTTCATCTGTGCCTGTTGCTCTAGGAGTTTCTGTGTTCATGTGGAGTGGGAGGTGCTGTTGGACAACCAGAGTGTTAACTGTAGAAAGGGTCCTGATCCAGGAGATCAGGAATGAAAGCTGTTTAAATTTCTGTGTTTAAATACCTATGGGTAGTAAATTAACTGTTGTCAGTTGTTACATCAAGTATATATATATTTTTTTAAGAACTGTTTAGTATTTGCATAACACGAGCATTCCTGTAACATCTGAAGGACCCAAGCACTGGATCTGCTTTGAAGGTGCATCATAATAAAGAGGCATCTTGCAGCTTTCACAAGGACATTTGATCTGACTTAGACCAGCTCTGTTAGGATGAGACAGGACATCAGACAGGCCCTGTGACATGCTGGTACCATATGTTTCACTCTGAAAACTGGTACTAATCGCTTGTGTCTTTCAAAACTGTTTATTTTCTCTTTCTGTCTCTTGTGAGTGAACTTACAAAGCCAGAATGGAGATCACGGCTCTCTTTCCCAAGGCCAGGGCTGAAAGAGAGGATTGTTTCAGGAGTGGCTTAGCACTTCCCCAGCCTCTCGAGCTCTTATGACAAACTGCTGGAAAAACTATCTATGGAAGCACCTATTGAGAACTAGAGCCACAGGGAAGAGGGTTCATCTCCTCACGGAGAGCAGTGTAGTGTAAAAAGCTGTTCCACTTCATGTTGCCTTCAAACCCAAGCTTCCTACAGTAATTCTTAAGAGTGAGGGAGAGGAAGAAGAGCTCTTGTAAGACACTGTAATAAGCTCCCCTCTGTTCTGTGAGTTGTTTGTAATCTGCATCTTCTGCCTACTTTTGCTGTACCTTTTCAGAAATCTTTGCAATACTTGATACAGTAGAAATTCCTTAGTGATTCCATGGATTTTCTTAACTAAATGGTGCTGTGCAGGAAAAAGATTTGAGCTCTGCCTTATTATCCTACACTTGTATGAAGTCTCCTGCCACTAGTTTTCTGAAATGGAATATTTTCTTTGGAATATGTGGCTTTGCAAGCAGATGCTTTCTATTCCTCCCCTGTACTCCAGGGGGCTGGATAGAGATAAGACAATAAAAAGGAAGGTGACAGAATGCTGTGGTTCACTGTTCTTGCTGTCCTCACACAAACATCCTCCCAATGAGGGCAGTTATGTAACTTCTGCAGTGTCTGAGGAGATTTAAGCCTTTTTGTAGCACTTATCTGTTTATTGTGTTTCAGTTTATTCAACAAACGGTTCCAAACTTTACATGACATGGATCCCTTTACCCAAACAGGATTTTAACACAGCTAACCAGCAAAGCATGCAACACTACCAGGCTGTATCAGAAATTGCACTCAGACCCCAAGAGTTATCCGAATGTTTTCAGTCTATGAATTCCTTAAATTATTTGTTCCAAATCGGTAGCTTTTCTGGAGCTTTAGTTTCTTGTACCTTGTTTGCCTTTAAGACAATCTCTTGATAAAACAATCAGAAACAGGGAGAACAGTTTTAAGTCAACACTGAAAAAATTTAAAGGCTATGAACCAGAAGGACATCACATTTTAGAACTTGTACAATAAGAAAAGACTTTTTAAAGGAAAAACCTTGTAATGATTTTAGCAGTGTCCTTTCAAGCACTCCAAAAATCAGCTTCATTCATCAGAATTTCAGCTCTGTGTATCAGTAAGGATGCATTAAGTGGGTTATGAATCTTGTATCTCTTTCAGTGGGACAGTCTGCTCCTTGCAGCTGTGCTCTGCTGAAGCTAGTGGGATATCCAGATTTAGATCCAGGATAGATCAATCCCATCTTCTGAGGTACAGTCACAGCAGCACATGCTTATGCTTAATCTTTAATAGGCACTTTCCTTGGAGAGCCTTCCCCCTTTGAGACAGAAGTGAAAAGGGCCAGTCTCAAATACTTCAGTGGCACTACTTGTGCTTGAAGGCATTGCAGACATGGAAAAATAACTCATCCCCTGGCAACAGAGGCTGATTCAGTATGGGGGCAGGATTACTTTGGCAAAAGAGTATTTTTACCACGTAAAAGGCTCCATAAAACCAGATGTAATTCTGGTAAGGTTTGATCTTTTCTGTAGTTATTTACACAGTCACTTAGAGTTTGATAATACTGAGTTATCCTCTTGCAGTTTTCTGTCTGATTGATACAGAGGAGTTGACAGAGCAGAGAGGTGTGTGCTTGCAGGTTTGTAGTGCTCCTATTCGTGTCTTGAGGCTGTCTCACTCCATTCAGGATTCTTCTAAAAGATCAACTAAACCCATGTAGATGATGTAA